TTTACAGCTTGATTCCACACTGTATTTTCGGTAGAAGTTTGGAATTTTCAGCGTGGATATCGGTAGCCTAAATTTTGCAGGCCGACCATAGTTATCAGGTGTGCACCGGCGTGGGCTCGAACCCCGAACCATGTGCATGGTCGGCGAGAGTCCAAACCACTGTGCCACAGACGCACACAGATTGAAGATTGAACGATCAATTCATGGTTGTTTGCTCAAAATCAACTTCCCCAATTTTCGCGGAGGCATCAATACGACAGTCATCTTCTCATCGGTCGCTGTTACGAAGGAAGTCAGCAGTAAACCGTCAGAAGTAATATTGTGATTTATTATTGTAATATTTGTTCATAGACCTTAGTGGAAACATTTTTTATATGTTGGTGTTACAATAAAGTATTCTCGAGTGGTCAATCGGTGTTTTGGTTTTTCGTCCGTTATTACTAAGCGTTTCTTAGAATTTTCAAGCGACAGCGTGAGCCCGAGCGTAGCAAGAGCTGGGCATTAACGGTTTACGAGACGTGGCTGACAACATCTGTTTAGAGAACTCTTCTTATCGAAGCTGTCACTGTCTGTACAGACGCTACTTGTGACACTTCTGGGTAGTGTAATAGAGGACTTAGCTAGTATTGCAGATAGGATTCTCGAAATAACTAAACGTTCATTTACCGAAATATGCTCGATGACTAATCAGATGCTTAGTTCGAACATGAATTCTAACTTTTCCGACCGTTGTCCTAAATCTCCTTAACGCAGGAACTCACGTGGTCGATCTAAGTCCAAACCCCGTTCTCTGAAAAACCCTGACTGGTGCTGGTACCACAACATCTATCGCCAAGCAGCGAAGTGTTGCCGTAAGCCTTGTAACTTCGGAAATGTCTCAAAGTTTGTGCGAAACTATCCCACCGGCACGCGTTAGCGGCAACCGTCGTCGGTGGCACTAGCCGCCTGCTTTACATCCATGATGTGATTAGCGAGACTCGATATTTAGTCGACACAGGCGCCGAAATCAGCGTCCTTCCTGCTACAGCAGCAGATCGACAGAAGGAATCTACCTTCAACTTACAGACTACAAATGGAAAACCAATCGCAACTTTTGGTAGGAAATACGTCTATCTGAACGTAGGTTTACGCAAACCTATTCGATGGATTTTCCTTCTCGCTGACGTTACAATGCCCATCATTGGCACGGACCCACTTAATCATCATGATTTACTCGTAGACGTCCGCCGAAAACGACTGATTGACAATACTACTAGTCTGTCTATCAAAGGCATCAGCTACATAGGCCCTCAAAAATTTTAAGTTAAATCCCCGAACCATAACATTTTCACCACATCACAAACTGTGTCTAACACGACGATAGCTCCTGACAAACTGAGAATGCTAGGAATGAATTTGACCATATGCTTAGCCTTGGCATCATTCGACCTTCGAATAGCCCATGGGCATCCCCACTTCATATGGTTCCGAAAAAGGATAGCAACGATTGGCGACCCACCGGTGATTACCGGCGAGTGAATGCCAAAACAACCCCTGATTGCTACCCGTTGCCTCATATACACAACTTGACGGCAACCTTATCCGGCGCGACTATATTCTCCATAATAGACTTGGTTAAAGCGTATAACCAAATCCCGATGGAAACAGAAGATATCCCGAAAACGGCTATCATTACGCCTTTTGAACATTTTGAATTTCTACGTATGCCATTCGGTCTCCGGAATGCAGCCCAAACATTCCAACGCTTCATTGACGAAGTATTTCGCGGTCTCGACTTTGTATACGCATACTTAGACGACTGCCTCATTGCCAGTCCAGACAAGGAAACTCACCTTAGACATTTGCACTTGGCATTTGAAAGGTTACGCCAACATGGTGTTACCATTAATATTCAAAAGTGTCAAATAGGCGTTGACTCACTCGACTTCCTGGGTCACACTATTGACTGCAAGGGCATTCGCCCACTGGCTACTAAGGTCGAGGCTACACTGAACTTTCCAGAGACACAGACGGTGAAAAGTCTCCGCACTTTTAACGGCTTAGTGCGACGGGCACTGGACAGGAAACAAACGAAGCACGGGATCCAACGAACAACTTCAAGGAAGCTATGTACAAACACCCTATTAGCATAGTCAGACAAACCAGTAGGCATACCACCAAGCCGCTCGGGAAATTTTTTTCACCCGAAAGGGAACCATCGAGTTTCTTTCCTTCCGGCTAGTTCTGTCTTAGGGTCCTCACCACCCCACTAGGGGGAGTGAGCTGTAGCGGTAAATAATTCCCCAAAATTATTGACCACAGCAATCACACATTGGATGCTGACCACCACTGTTTAAGTCAACTTGTTTAGCTGAAGGCTTCCGGTCAAGCATCCCCGCCATTTGGTACCCTGTCGTGTCACGTGCACGGTCACTAGCTAGCTAAGCGTTCGTCTGAAGGCTTGTTTTGGTCCTGAAATATATCACGAAGTTTGGTCGATCAATTATTGGCTTTTGCTTTGTTTTCGGTACGCGAGAATAATTTAGAGGCTGTGTAAGATAATTCCGTCAACCCTTAAAAATGTTAAATTTAAGTGTGATGTTACACCGAGATTCTGAAGAAGAGCTTATCAAGAACACTGAAGTCTTTTCTCAGCTGGTGTCTTGGTTTCCACGTTCGGTAAATGGTCAGTGGATGTGTGATTGGAAAGGTATATCTTTGAGCCACTTGAGTGTATGTTCATTAATTCAGTTACATCTATTCATCCGGTTATATCAAAGGCACATACTCTTCATACATATTGTTACAGGCGCTTCGCGGACAACTTCTGAACATAACGATTTACCGTCTTCCCCCAAGCTGAAATAAAACTGAGTTGTTCCAAAGAGACTCTGCTTAATATCGAATAAGCCAAACGGTTACAGTTACAATTGGCCAGCTTGAGAACAAAACCAAATATGTTCAAGCAGAACTATAGTGATAGCAGAATGTTGAAGAACTGCAAGGTTGTTGTTTCTTTTTGAAATAAATGCATCGGATAAATACAGTTGAAGCCCTCAGATATGAGGTTGTCTGACGTCCAAACACAAGCTTAGAATGTCGACTCCATTTCTGGCAGCTTATTATCAGTTTCTTCCAGGCTACACTGTGAATTTGGGAAAGCAGAAAGAATGGATGCTGATTATACAAATTATTAACTGGGGAGGGGATAATATGCTCCAGTCATTCAGACGACGATCACAACACCACTAAGCAAGTGGACATCACGTTGTTCTTGACAGTATTTAAAGCTTTTACGCTGTGGAAACCAATCTCCTACATGGTTATGACAGCGAGATTCAACTCAACAGGAAGAAAGTTAACAATTATCCAGTGCTGGGCACCTACAAAGAACTCAGAGAAAATAATTCCATATTAGAAAAGATTATTTTAATTATCACACAGTATTACAGTATCTGACTAATCCACATCCGTTCTCTCTGCTTTCTCAAATTCGCAGTGTAGCCTGATGCAAACTGACTGAAAGCTGACAAAATTGGAATCAACATTTTAATTCAGTGGCCGCAGAGGCAGAAATGCTTTTCCTCCAAATAGGGATCTAGTTTCACTGAGAACATTGAATGACCTCATTGGATAACTGGTCTAACCTCGGTCAGCTAATCAGAACAACTTAATCTCCTCTGACCTAGCCTAACTTTAGTATGGCTGAGAATATATAAATATGATGTATTTTCCTTAAAAGAGGTTCGTCATTAAGTCTCGAATCTTCTGTCGTTACACCGGCAATTCCGTGTGTATCTCCTCACCTTCAGCAACCCTCCGTGCTTAGCGTATCGTAAGAGCATTCCATGTTCACATGTTTATTTTGGCTTTCATTGAATGAAGGCACATCGTCTGACTGGCTTCCTGGAGGCTTTGACCAGCTCGCATTATTTCTTATCCCCGAGATTATAGCGAAGAATAATATTGCTTTTAATTTTTGTGCTTGATAGTTTCTTTGCAACTGGATTGGTTTTCTTGGCTTTGATGACTATCCTTATTCCTAACCTTCCCTCCTTACTCGGGTTTAGGATCGGCTACAGAACTGCCGACTTAATAAACTAGACAAGGTTACCATCACATTTCAGGGACCTTACTTCCTTTGTACGGCTTTGAAAACTACTGTAGTGGAGTTTCATCAGTCACCTTGCAGTTATCTCGTATTGTCTCGTTGATAGACATAATGTCAATGAACTTATCCCTAGATTCCTATCGTTACGAAGACGCTTTGCACCGTTAAATACTATGTACTTTCTTCGACTTTGACTCCAAAACACCAGTATTGTAAGAAGGAAGTTATATTGTTTGGCAGTTAAAGTGGAGAACAGTAAAAGTCTATAAACAAATGCTTTATAGAAAATTATGAAGTACTTTTGTTCGTTTTTGGTAGTCCTCGTCGAACTTGTACACGATCGAACCATTCGCGCCTTCGAGTTGCCCACCAATGGCTACCAAGGCCAATGAACCATCGTTCAGTGTTCATTTCCATTGACAATCACAGTATATGTATCACAGTTAGACGAATGTTTTGTATAGTTATTGTTTCTAGCACTGTTGTTCGTAGACATCTGAAAGTCTTGCTTTCATCAAGAGGAATAAGAAAGTTGCCCAAAATCTAATCATGCGAAAGGAATATCCTCCCTGAAACCACAGCTGTAAGGGGCTTGCCGATACCTTCTCTGTGGTGTGTAGGCATCGAAGACGGGAATAGGTCGTTATGATCACTGGTTACGAGAACACAAGATTTGGTATCGATTGCATAATGTTCGCTTCTGTACTGAGTGAAGTACGCCCGGTAAACACAACTAAACAAATAATTGGAGGATGAAAACATTTCAGGTAACAAAATATTCGTTCATCGTTAGAAATATGATAAAACATGTAATCTGGGTTGAATCGTAATTATATCTATTCAATTAGGCCTTTTCCAGTTGCATGTTGATAAGCAGTTGTTTAAGTGCGTAAATTTTCCAAATCGTTATAGTGATCAAGGTAGCAAGCTTTAAAATATGTGCAGCAATGTAGAATTACTGAAGTCAACTTTAAATAGGGTCACGGATGATCCCAATATAGATGTACATACAGGCTATCCTAGGATTGATCGGTCTAATGATAGATCAACGGATTATAATGTGCGAAACGCGAACAGATTGCCGGTTAGTATAATTCAAATTACAAATATGACAGCTGGCAGAAGCTAGCCGTTGTTTTTCTGGATTGAAAACTTCTGTATGTTAGGATTTATTTTATGGTTGGTTATTCTGTAAATAATGCAGTAGCATCATCTGTACTAGTCAAGTCACCTATTGATGACTTCAAATATTGCAAGCTTACAATAATTCTAAACTACTTCTAACCTGTGTCAATGATGCTTTTGCGCGGTAAACAAGTATTTTATACACCTGAAATGAACTAAATGCACTAAAATAACGCCGGAGGTTCTCAGAAAGAGCACTGGATGCCTCATTAATCCGATGAAACCTTATTAATAGGATTTACAGCTAAAATAATGCATCTAGTACTGAAATGAAGATGAAAATTTTGCCACTTTGCGCTGATCCAAGTCATTTTTCTGAACTGGCGCCAGTCAGTACTTCGTCTGCGCTGAGAGGGCCTAAACAACGGTGATTAGCAAACCCAGTAGTGTCAGAGCTACTTCTGAAAATGCCTAGAAAATCACAGGTTGCTGAATTCTCGCCAGTCATGCTGAAAACCAGCGCTTAGTTTTGCTCTGTGTGCATAACCAAACAATTTCAGAATTTACTCACCATAGAATGTTAGAATGAATTGAGAACTAGTGAAATGTAATTCAGGAATATAGTAAACCCGCTAGTTTTTAGTTTTTTGAGGAATTCGGGTAAGGTTTTAAGTATAGTTCTGCCCAAAAGCTGATTTCTTAAAACCTTCAGATTTTTTCTAAGGTATATATACATTCATATGAACTGTGATCAAGATTTGACAAATGTAACTTTATATATATATATATATATATTAGATGTGGCTGTCGGCCGAACTCCGGAGTTCATCATTTCTACCAAATCCGTGAGAATATCACTACCTAACTTAGACACTTAGCTTTTAATGGCTATCTCATCTGTATGAGGAATAATCCATGGAGAATTCTTGAAAATTTTCTGGTATTTTGATGATATGGTCAGTATAATTGAGAGTTATATTAGTGTAATGCTGTCCTAGGAATAGTATAGTCGTAAGGCTGGTGAGTATTGTCTAAGAAGTTTAACAGATGAAGAATTGTTTATGTCTACGTGAAGAACGATGTGGGCTAATACAAGTTATTATACACACAACTCCTATAGTAGGAAATCTAGTAGAAACAACAAGAAGCCATGTTTCTTTTCTGATTTGACTAATAGCAGTCATTAAGTGGGCGGAAAAAAGCGCCTTTACGATTATTCATAGCATTTAATCGAACCTTTGAAGGGAGATTGGATTCATTATTAGTAATACAGCTGAAGCTATGTGAATTCGGTGAACAACCGTAGTCTGTGCTTGTGTGTGTGCGAAGAAGTTTATTGTACCGTTGTCCCTTCCATTACCTAAGTAATCTGAACAAACAAATGCGTTACTAAATTTTGTTACCCATTTTTATTCTTCACTCCTTCACCGCTATTAAAATATATATTAATATTTGTTTCATTTATATCACAAATAATTGAAGAACTGATTAGTTTCAAATGACTTTATTTCAGGAACCTGGTGTTCTCTTCTCCAGTGGTAGCACTGCACATGACCATAAAAACCTCTTAGTAAACCGGTATACCAAAACCATTGATAAAGGTAACTTATGCGGAGCTTCACCAGATTTTCACTATGTGGATGAACTCCGATCAAGACTTCCTAATTCAAAATATAATGGCTCACGTCCTGGAGCGTTTTTTCCCTGGCCAAGATACATGGCAGGTGAGTGATTGATTGTCTTGAGTTTTGAATCCTCTTGGTCAGATACAAAGTGTCTACTCTATTGTCCTATAAATTTAATTACGCTTATGCTTCATTCCACTAAATAAACCATAAAAATCAATTTATAATGTTAACACAAATTTTAATCATAGCTATCTAATCTATTTTTATAACACATCTATTGTTTACAATTGACTGAATCCAATGGCTATCTCTACTTAGTAGGAGAACTACGACATGCTTGGGCGAATGAAATATTACATGCATTACAGGCATACAAACCAATTAGTTAGGCTGCTTGAACGACCTCTAACTCGTTTCCAGTTGGTTTTAACTAGAAATAACACTCCCGACTCCCGCCTAGCAATCTATACTGCTGAAACTGAGCTGTGACCATACTACCTGCTGACTTTTTACCCTAGTCCACCGAACCTGGTGGTCAGGCTGCTCTTAAAACTGCCCCAACTAGTGAAGGGAGAATATAAGACTCATTGCTGCCTAAAGGTGTATTTACTGACGATGATTTGAAGAGAGTGCAGAGATACATAATCACACCACAACTAAGTCGTTGAGCTTTCATCCCTAATAGTCCATTAGTTCACCCCTCTTTTCAATCTGCACAGATAAACAAATTGATCGTTGAAAGTTGGACTGATTTGACGAACTTCTTTTATCCTTCGCAAGCTTGAATAACTATGAAGTTAAGATATGTTTGTTTTTAGATTGACCTGCGTCTCCCGTCGATTGATTATCAGGGCCGAAATACTTTATCTCTCTCGACATGTCAGATCGTAGTACGGACAAACAACTGATATCTGCTGCAAAGGTGGTATTTGTTCTGGCACTACTGGCCTATTGGTTAGTGCTTTGGTGTTTGAAACGATAGGTGCAGGGTTCGAATCTCAGTGGCGGCACCATGACTCGCCGGAGAATGCAGGTAAATGAAGCTGATGTGTCCTAAACATGACGAGATTTTTAATCTGGATTGCACTACTAGTCACCATTAACCAAAAATAGCATCAAATGAAAACAGAGCTCTTTTATTCACGGAATTTTCATGGTACAGAAAGTGATGGTATCCGGTTGGATATTTGTCCGTAATTAAACGTTACTGTTCAGTACTATACATTAGATACTTGTCAACAGTAAATTACAAATAAATAAACAAATTGCCTTTTGTAGAATGAGTGGACTAAGTTTTTGTTTGGTCACCTCACCTGAGATACTATTATTATTATTACTATCATAAGTAATTGTACTTGAAATTAGATAATTTCCTGTAACGAAAGAGAGAAAGAAAGAAAGAGAGCATAGTATGCGTGTAAACAGATCGTATTCCAACTTGAAAGTTAAATTCACCTTAATTCTCGGACGTTACCATTTTATTATTAATGCTACTCCCAAGGGGTTCCGAGTGGAATATACGGCTTTAGCAGCACATCTCTGCGGTCTTCCATTTTAGTTGGCTTTACCATTACTCATAGGATTTTATTTCCTCTTCACATGATTTCTTCCATTTTATTCTAGGACGTCTAACACACTGTTTATTATTCAGGTTCCACTGGAAGGTTTATGTGGAGCATGATGTTCATCTCCATTTGTTTATGCATATTTGTTGAACGATAGGTTCTTGGTTCGTCACCTGACTGAGCTGCTTATTGCCTAACGTTTCTGGTAGGCGAATGGATCTTCAGTATCGAGGCAACAAAAACAGTTGTTTATCAAAGTTTTCAGCTTGTTGGGAATATTTTTGGTGACATGCCAAGTCTTTAAACCATATAGAACCACTGACTCACTTCATAGTAGGTTTGAAAAGCCGAATCCTGTTTCTCACGCTGAATGCAGTATGTGTTGACACTGACTTCAGAGTGGTGAGTGGCTATGTGTCTTTTCCAACCGTTCCTTTGATACTTGTATTCGTGCCTTGTCGCTGTAGTTGAAATAATGCTGCCTAGATAAGTGAAAGAAGTGACCTCCTTTGGATTTCTCCCATTGATGACAATCTGAGTTTGCTGTTGTTGTCTAGGCATCTTCACCACCTATGTTTTATCTATGTTCCCTAGAACTTCTATCTTCGCTGCATACCACTTCTACCAATTTGTTGGTTTTCGCTTGTAAATCGTTGAGGGTTTGTGAAACTACAAATGAATGATCCACAAGATTCAGATCTTTTACAGTCTTCTTATCTGTTCAGCATATTGCTGACTTCTCTCTCCCCACAGTCTGATGCATAATCCAGTCCACTACAGTTAGGAATATCACTAATGATAGTAGGCAGTCTCATCTTACTCCTATATTCACTTCAAAGGCCTCACTGAGTTTTCCATTGTAATACACCTGAAATGTGGTGTCGTCATTAGTTTGTTGAATAAGGTTGGTAAAAGTTTGGGGTACTCTGAAGTTTTGGAGAAGTTTACGAATTACTTCATGGTCAACACTACCTTGAATGTTAACATACTAAAGCAACAAATAACGACACTATACTAAGTAACTAGTGAAAAAGGAGCTAATTTGAAGTCTTGAAGTGTCAATTAATATAAAATATAGTTTCAGGCAGTTTTCTATTTAAAACAACTTCATGTATCCATAATTTTGTCGGCTTCATTTACTCTCAACTTGTGATAAATTATTATTGTACGTTAGTATCTGGCTCTGTAGAGTTCGGATTTCATTTAAGGCTTCTGAAAATCTATTTGGAAACGAAAATAGTAGTTCCTACAGTGTTTAGGACTTTCGCCTACCATGCACATGGTCCGAGGTTCGATCCCCTGCCGACGAAGCACACCTGATATCTATCGTCGGCCTGCAAAATTTGGGCTACCGATATCCATGCTGAAAATTCCATAATTGTACCAAAATACAGTGTGGTTTCAAGCTGCAATCAAAAATTAAATTAAATTATCAGTGATCACAGTATTAAAATCAATTCTCTAGCTCTTTATTCAAATATCCCGTTTTAAAATGTATGAACAGTTAGAAACCTCATGTCCTTTAGGAATCATTCCATTTTGATCTGGGATATTTGTATTTCAAAAAACCACATAGAACATTGGTCACCTACAATCGAAAACCTAGTCTCAACCATCTACTCAGCACTTAAATTCTGCTTTAAAATAGTTGAGAATAAATCGATGAAGTTAAATTTTGGTGATTTCAATTGATTTAGCTCTCTGAACTGAGTCAAGAAGAGTACGCCGCCAATGAGTTCGGCCCCAAACGAGCGAAACGGTCGTCCGGTGTTTAGATCACCTCGATCTAGTTACAACAACCACTATTGGTTTATGTCAGTAGCATACAGCTACTTATTTCATCAATCAGTAGTACATAGCTTTATGTGAATAGAAAAAGTTACTATTGTCGTTTACTTTCTAGTAAGTTGTGAAGGTAAATGTCAACTGATTACACCAAACGGTAGCCATATTATAATCCTAATTGATCCAAGAGAAGATGGGATACACTGACTATCGGAATACAGTTAGACAGTGCCCAAGCTTTATGCTGATATCAGTAATACAGTTAGACAGTAATACAACAGAACGACCAATACTAACTAGATCTGACAGTTTTGAGTTGAAATTCTCAAACGGATTATGGTTAAAAACTGATGTGAAGTTTTCGTACTAAGATAGAAGATAATCATGACATCTTTTGCCTTTCAATATTTTTCCCAGCAATCATGATGGAATAAATCAGGAATGCTTTGCAGTCATGTTATGCTGATTGTATCTGTAACGACCAAATTCATTCGGTTATAGTCTGAATGCAAAAACCGATCTCTACGTTTTGCTGTGAGGCCGGCAAAACTTTCTTTTAGATACCTGCTAGCATGGAACTTTCCAAACTCAGGGAAAAGACGATTGTCCTCAAATAATTTAGTGGTTCTACAAAACAGTATTAACATCAAAACTCAAATTTACCTCAACAGTGCCGTGAGACAGCCATACAGGCACTGCAGATTCATAAATACAAAACAAGTAATGTAAGACAAAATTAGTTAACCAAAGTTCGACTGTAAAAACTACCTAGGAATCGAAGATAATACGCTGAATGAAGTGGGATCAGGAATCACACAATAGCACTTCCTACAAAGAGTCCCTGAACAGAATGACCTACATTCACTCAAAAAACTCACATTGTTAAACAACACATTATCAGAGTACACACAGCCACAAAGAAAAGTATTACAACGTAAGGTTAAACAAGGAAAAAAACAAATAATAAAAGTCGAAAATCAGCATGCGGTATTCAAATGTCAAATTAATGATACACAAACTAGGGGAAAACCGTATAATAGTTGCAAAGTTACAGGATTTCATCATGAGCTGACACTGGATAGATAACCATTGGAAAACCTGGGAGTACTGGACAGCAGGTCGAGTGCTAGGACAAACACTCGCCACCTATGACATTGGCTAGTGGTCGCGTTATGTAGGGAATTAGCAGAAGTTAGAATTCATGGGCTGGTCATTGGATCAGGTCCCAGTGGCTTGCTGGTCTACGAGCTCGCCTTGTAACCGTAAGGACCTGAGTTCTAACCCCCTTGGAGGGTATGTACTGATGAAAAGTTGCAAACCAGGACAACACAGTTGTCCAATGGTTCTCTAACTGATATCAATCCGCGATCAACTCGTAAAATCAAAACTAACCCTTACAAACCAAGCTATAGAAAATTAATTTGATACTCGCTAGCGACTTGCTACAGGACGGAGCTTCCTGGAGTTCTAATGAGAAGTCGTGACCAGTGAGATCCATCCAGATGTCACGTGTGAGGATGGATATTCCACCGATGACATTGGCTGGTATTCGCGCTAAAATCACGAATTGGTATAAGTTAGAATTCATTGACTAGCCATTGAATCGGATCCCAGTGGCTGAATGGTATACGAGCTTACCTTGTAACCGGAAGCTCCTGGGTTTGAACCTCAGTAGGTGCGTGCTTCCAATGACTCCCCAACTAGGATGAAACAGCTGTTCAGTATTCCGTGTTGGTTTTCAATGGTTTCCTAACTGATATCAATCCGTGATCAACTCTTAAATACAAAACTAACCCTTACAAACCAAATTATAGAAAATAATGAATATATACTTATACTTTAAAGAACGCGGATTATCCTCATGTTTTTAAAATACATTTAGCTAATTGTACACTAATTCTAGTTAGCAAATGATCTTAATTAGTTGAATAATTGATTAGCAATCAGAATACCTTCAGGTATATTTAGTTATTCATATAAAAACCGTTTTGTAGATAGATAATTCAATTAAGAAGCACTTCCAAATGTTTTATTTACAGATGCCTTATGAACAGTGCTGCGATCGAAGTGTTAAGGATGCTTGAGGGTCTGTGACCGAAGTTGCTCACTAACCTCACCATAATATTTTTCCCTCGGTATAATACAGAGGTGTACGTTGAGCATAAAATGGTCAAAAGATTTGTACTTAATTGATTTACACAACGTGTTACGACAGTGGTGTAAAGCTATCATGTGGCATTTTGATTACCTGCTACTGAATACTGAGGTGTTTGAAATTATTCATGTACTGAACACCTGAAATATTTGTCATTAAAAAGAAATGTAGACGAACTAGAGAAAGTTCTTTTAGCCTAATTGCTACTTAAACGACCTTTATGGCATGTTGGGATCTACAGAGTGCGTCGGTGGCACAGCGGTAGAATGCCCACCGACCAAGCATGTGGTCTGGGGTTCGAATCCCGGCCAACGCACTCCTTCACCTCATTAAGCCAGTAATAAGGCCGGTAAAGAGGGAAGGTTGGGCATGAGACTGGCCATCCCATCCTGTAAGAAGAAACATCACTGCTACCGAAAATTCTAGCCTGTAGCTTGGAGCCCTATGCTACGCTGTGAACGTGAAGGAATAAAAATGAGGATCTACAGCCAAGTATAGCTTTCTGGATAATTATGTTAAGCATACTGGATAACCACATCAGGGTGGCAGCCTTTTTAAAAGTCAGTAAGTCACTTCCGCTCTTTTAATCAGCTGAATATGAATTAAGGGCGGGAAGAATTGATGTAGCAGTTAAACGAGTTAGTAATGAGCTAGAAAGACTGTGTCACTTATTTACTCAATAATCCAGAAATTTACATAAACGAGATTAGTCACTTGTAAGTGGTAATTAGGTTTGTTAGTCCGACATCCTGAGAATGTATCGTGTAATTCAGAAATGAATTATCCAAAGGTAGAATCCATCAAGAAGCAACATTAACTTGAAAAAAAACATTGACAGTCAAGATGTATTTGACCTTATATTTTGTACTACTTTAGAATAGTGTTGAAGACTAAACTGAAAACCTTATGATTATGGGGGTTATACGCAGCCACTTGAATATTAAATCTAAATCCAATGATCTACTATTTAAAACTACTATCAGTTCATGATATATCGCCAATGCAGTTCCAAGATATTAGTCAATATCTTATGTTCAACCTGATTGTATACTTCGCATTAGAGTTCAATCCATTGGCGGCTATCGAGAGGGTTGTAATAATACACTGGTATCTTATGTTCAATAATTGCTTATTTATTCTAATAACATTCTGTTTTGATCCACCTTAACTTTCTGATCTTAGTGCATGGGGGGGGGAGGTCAGTGGTAGAATGATTGCCAACTGCACACGTGGTCAGGTTTCAGTTCCTGGCCCACGCACTCCTAAACCTCTCTTAGGCAATAGTAAGCCCAGTAAAGAGGGAAGGCTGTGCTTGAGGCTAGTGATCCTTCCCCCCTCTCGGACGTAAAAACAACGCAACTGCTAATGGAATTTCAAGTCTGAAGCTTAAAGCCATATGTTCCAATGGGAATGCAAAAGAACTAAATACATAATAATTTTTGATCTCATGAACCCATAATGTCTGTCTGTCTGGATTCAACATAGAACTTCGCACCGAAGTGCACCAGTTCGAGTTGCCACGTTCAAATAGCACACAGAGGTAGATAAGAAGATGAGTGAAGAGAATCAATAGAGTTTGACAAGTATAAGAGTGAAACAGAATGGGTAATGGTAGAAAGGAATATGAAAGATTAAAGAGACTGAATACATCTGCGCTGGCCATTGACAACGATTTTGAGCCATGTCACCTATTGTCTCCAGCCATTGATTCCTAGAGTCCCGAGGGCCCCAACCCGGAAGTCTGCATCTCTACCTGACTCAGTTTAACTGTCAAGGATTTCATGACACTATCCTCCTCTTTGAATACTGAACTTTAATACTGGCTTAATATTTTTTTCCTGTAGGCGAAAAAATAGAAAAACTTAGTCGAAGTTTATCATCTAGTTCTTTAATCGGGATTGAAATGGAACGTCGTCCACCAACAAATCTTCCTGGACCTATTAAAATGGCATTTGGTCGTGCTGCTCCTGGTTATTATGCTCAAAGATATCCAAGTAAGATTTATAGTACACAACATTTTTCTGAATTAATTGAAAACATTATGTTTTGTTGGCCAAGTTAGACTTTAGGCACCAGTAAGTACCACTAGTGGAGTACGACAGCATCAGTGACTTTGAAATGCTCAGGAATCAAGTTAGCGAAACCTGGCAAATATTGTTGTAGTCCTAAATAAAACAAGCCTAATAAAGTGTTATGTTCATAAATAGTATATCTGGCAAGTTTCAGGTTAGATTTGGGAAAGATGAAGTTAAGGTTTAGTCTAAGGACAGGTTAGAATTAGGTTAACCTAATGAGGGTGACACTGGGGTAATTTCAAGTTAGATTACGGTTAGTTTAGGGTTCGACGACTAGATAATTATGAGTACAGAGTGTGCTAAAATTACTCTGTTCCTGCTCTAATCGATAACTGACAGGTATTTTTGACACACTTCGGAGAAAGGTATACTGTGTAGCAGTTTCACGCCATCTAATTCATTACTTCTTGCAATTTACACCCAAAAATAACTTATATCATACGATTTATGCGTTCAAGGTCATTTGTCCGTTGACACTTACTTGTGCTTAAAGTTTAACTTCGCTGTTTCGTTTATTCCTCATGGAAAATTCCCATTGTAACATATAGAAAATCAAAACAAGTGGTTCAGCGAAGAGACTCTTTTCAACGAATTTATCATCAAGCTGTACAATCGTATATATATATATATATATATATATATATATATATATATATAGTTTTTAAGAAGTTATATCCGGTGAGGGAATTGAGTCATAGGTGTGAATGCATGAAATAATGATAATAGTATGAAATGCAATTAAAAACTAAAATGTTTGTGATTATGATCATAGTTAAATATCAAGTGGCAAAACAAATTAATGTCACATATAGAATAATTCATAGGATGGGTAGAACTTGAAAAGGGGTGTGCAATTACTGGATCAGTAGACAGATTGAATAAAATAAAAATGTTACGTAATACTGTGTGAAATTTAATAGCATAGAATTTAACGATATAAAAAAAGAATTTATTTAGAATGACAAGTGGAACAAGTGAAATAATACCGAAGACAATTCAAAGTGAGAATAGTAATAGTAACAATTGACGTAATAAAGGAAGAGTATACAAACTGAATAGACAAAATGAAAAATTGGTAGAGCCAAAATATGATTAAGGATTACGATACTTTAGCATAGAGGGATTAAGACCATGAAAGTTGGAGGGGTTAAACGAACTTTTTCTGTAGACAAAGCTTGGGCTTTTCTGTCTCGATAGCCAAAGCTTCAGCAATACAGATGAGTCGGGTACGTAGGGATTCAGGTAAATCACTCTTTGCCTTGTAGATGACTTTAAGGGCGGAGGCTATAGAGATAGGGTGACCATTATCGACCAGATGTTCAGTGATCGTGCTTCTTATTACTCCACTTCCGTTTCGTTTTCTGTATAAATGAAGAATAGTAGACCAAATTTTTAAACAAACTCACTTTCATTAGTACTGTAATCTGTTCCCGAAACTGATCAAAATGCACATAGACTCCCGTTCAGTGTGAAACGTAACTAAACATTTATAAACTGAGTACTTTTAGTTTTCAAAGGAAACTCACAACAGGATCTTAATTTGAGTTGTGTGTTTTGAAAACACTTGACTTGTGTGATGAGGCAATTTTTCATACTTAATGTGATCATACCCTTCACTGTGTGATTATTCACTGCATAACATTGTCCAGTGATTGAAATTGTTCACAAACCAGTTTTAATTATATGTTACCAAAGCATTTATTATATCTTACTGAACTGATTCTCAAGTAAAACCTTCAAATAGTGACAAGTAGTAACATGGATAAAAGAAAAGTCTATTTTGACCAAGCATTTATTAACCAAATGAGGCAATAAATCAGGTAAGCTTGTATTTATTGAGTAAATCGGGTGTATGAACAACAAACACGTAGGTTTTGAACTAGTAAACTGATGACAGCAATCAAGAACTGTGGATTTAAAGTGTTGGAATTCCTGAGGTGATGTGGGTGTGAGATCGTTGGTCTGATTAATAAGATTTTCAAATTGCACTTGAGTATGCAATCTGTTGACTTTGGACGAACTGTTACAGGATTCGGGGCTCAGTGATAGGGCTTACAGTTGAGTCTCAGAAAGGGTAACAGAAGAATAATTAAATACATATTTTCAAGTATTTGTTTTGTAGGGATTTTGTCTGATGTCAGCTCATGATTAAATCCTCCATGAAATACATATTTATTGGGATCAGTAGGAAATCTCTTTTCTGCTACTACCTGCTTGAGGCTGTCAAGATGCTTTAGGTTAGCAGACTGGGACTGTTTTTCTATGACAAAAGAAGCGTATTCCTTGAATTGCCGGCGTTCATCAGTTGAACTTTGGGGCCCTATCACTGGGCTCCAAATTCTGTAACAGTTCGTCCAAAGTCAACAGATTGCATACTTAAGTGCAGAAAAATAATAGCGAACTAATTTATTCTAATAGATCTCAACACTTTTTGACGTAACTTTAGATTTCTGTCAAAGTACTGGTTCTTCTGAAATTGTAAATTATGCTGTTGGTGATGAACATCAGCTTAAAATCAAATCAGTCTGACAATGGCTTCTTGTCAAATAAATCTAATTATTTTGAATAATGCATGAGCATTAAGTATGGTACTATCGTTTGTTTCGCCGGCTTTTCATCAACTGCGTACTATCTAAGTAAATGAATGTATGCGTGTATTAATGCAAATGTTACATGATGTCAGTTGATAGGAGACTTCAAACTTAATAAACACTGCCCAGATACTACACCTGTAATCACTTGTACACAGAAGATTCAAGTTTAAACAGTTCTTGGTTTCTTCAAATTCTCAAAGTAGAATACGTGAATGGAATCTAGTTATTTTTAGACGGTTGGAGACAGTCGGCAAGAAGCCCTGGTTTTAGGTTTTTGCGTCATCTGTGATGTACACCTATAACTATGAAGGTACTGATATCCCCTCTGTGGTTCGAACCCGTGTCACCCAGAGCTACCGTGGTCCGAGACTTTACCACTAACCTCTTCCAGTAATATTGCATTACATTCTACTATAATAGTGAGTTTCTTTGCTAGTTTAATGACTATGATGCAAGCATGATAGGTTAAATCCAGTCACCAGTTAAGAATCATCGATATAACCGTATCTAGTGCCCATTCCATAAATAGTCAATCTTGGTTTCGCTTTCAACATTTGTTTTCTTTGGCAAATTTAACTACTAAGAGTCTTTTCAGTAGTAAATGAATAAAAGGTTATTATGTGTGTTGAAATCAATTTGTTAATAGAAAATGAACTTAGAATATTTCACACTTCTTTGCTTGTTGTCCATTTGTATGTATCTATTGATACGGAATTAAATAATGGAGTTGAAATGGATTCAAAGGCAATAAGTGATCACAAAACTATTTAATTGGATATGTACTTTTCCGTTGACTAATTGGACCGAAGTATTCAGCTTCCTTTGACATATCGGCTCGTTATGCGAATGCTTTAACGATGTCTGAAGTAAATCTAAATGACGAGTCCCAGATAAGATGAAATGCGCATCCTGGATTCCACTGCTAGTCACCATCCACAATATTAATCACAAAACTATTGTCCTTAGTCGACCATGTACTAAATATACATACATATACATAACTCTGACACTTTACAAAGGACTTGACAATTTTCAGCCTTAAAGTAATTGAAATATTATTATTCCCTTGGGTTCCGATTGGAACATAGGGCTTCAAAAACACATCTCAACCTTTTTCCTATTTTGTGCTGTCCTCTTCAACTGGCCCCCAGATTCCCCATAATCTCTCATCTCCTCCTCCATCTCATCCTCACACCGACGAACTACTCGTCTCTTCCGACTGGGATCCCACTGGAGTGATGGCCTGCGCTATGCGCGATGTCATTCGACGACCTCCCCAGTGTATGCCCGATACATCGCCATTTTTCTCTTCATATTTGTTGAGCGATTGGCTCTTGGTTGGTTTGTTCCCAGTCAGTCAGAGTTTCTTGTCGCTAGTTCTTTCTAGTCGGTTGGCCATTTGATCTTCAGTATGAAGCCAGCCAGCGAAGGAGGCAGCTTTTGATAAAAGTCTGCAGTGGCCTGTTGGAAATGCAGTGCAAGTTTCTGACTCGTATAGAAGAAATGACTGACTGACTTTTTTTTTATTACAGCTTGATTCCACACTTTATTTTTGGTACAAGTGTGGAATTTTCAGCATGGATATCGGTACCCCAAATTTTGCAGGTTGACCATTGATATCAGGTGTGCTTCGTCGGCAGGGGATCGAACCTGAGACCATGTGCATGGTCGGTGAGAGTCCTAACAACTGTGCCACCGACTCACATTCGTATTGAAAATCCGAATCTTGTTCTTTATGCTGCGGTGAAGTTCAGAAGATGTGAAAACTGGTTTCAGGTTAAAGGTGTATATTGCCTTACTGATTATTGCCAGCTTTGATATCTTCATCTGTTCCGGCTTCCTGTAGTTGAAACGATGCTTCCTACTAGATAAGTGAAGGAAGTGACCTCTGTTAAATTTCTCTCTTTGATGGTGATCGGTGCTGGTGGTTGTTGTTGCTGTTGCTGTTCGTTGGTTGGTCATCTTCATCACCTCCGTCTTCTCTATGTTCACCTGAGGTCCTGTCTTCGCTGTGCGTCGGTGGCACAGTGGTTGGGACTCTCGCCGACCATGCACATGGTCCGAGGTTCGAACCCCCGCCGACGCACACCTGATATCTATGGTCGGCCTGCAAAATTTGGGCTACCGATATCCATGCTGAAAATTCCATACTTGTACCAAAAATACTGTGTGGAATCAAGCTGTAAATCAAAAAATCAAAAAAATCAAAAAATATACCAGCCTCTTCTGCCAGTCTGTTGGCCTTCGCCTGTAAGTCTTCGATTTTGTGTGACATTAAACATAAATCATCCATGAGCGAAATCCAGATCTTCGGGAGTCTTCTTATCGATGGTTCAGAGTAATTGAAATATGCTACTCCTTTTTTAATGTACTGACAGATAGGGTTTTAAAAAAATAGGAAAGTTACAATTGTATATATTATATATATTTTAATAGATTAAAAGTTAATTAATACACAATTTATCACTGGTAAACTTTTTGAATTATCCTCCATTTCCATTATTTTTTTTTCTAACATCTCATTTTAGATGAAGAGACATGGTTTAATTCAAATGTATTGCATAACCGTGTATCAATACCCAGATTCGGTTCACCATCACGTACACTGGACAACTATGAAGTATGCGATACAAGATTAAAACAATATTTATCTGAATTGAATGAGTTGACAGAATATCAGGATAAATATTTAGCACATACACCATCAGTTAAAAAACCAGTCAGATATTATTAGTTTCAGAAAACACAAAAAAGGATAATAATTTTTATTTTTATAATGTATAAACAGTTAATCCAGAGAAATGTTTAATTTCTGTTAAAACACATTATAGCTTATGTAAATAGTCTTACGCAAAAAGAGAAACACTGATCAATTTTCAAGTGCCTTTTGTTTAACTGCACATGAATAAAGCGTAATATATTTAAACATGTTTTTTCCCCCAAGAAGTTTAAATGATTCATAGATAAAAAAAATTATATTCGTAAAATCTCTCAGCGAGATTGAAATGATTACTTCCAACGCTTCGTTCGACAATCTGATCCGAACTTCTTCAGGGAAATTCATAGAAATTAACATAACAGAGGTTGATATCTATAACAGGAACATCTCTTGTTTTTAAAAACTTTGTTCAATCATATGAGTCATGAAACAGGTATCAACATGTATAATAAACAAAATTGTATGAGCTGTGATCAGAATTTGACCTCGGACTTACAAATATTAGTCTACTTTTGTTAAACATTTTAAGCAGAATTTTAGTTATTATGTTCGTCTAAAGTTCATGGTCCTAGATAACTGAATATGAAAATATTTGTGTATATGCGGTAGAGAGTGGTGTGTGTGTATGTGTGGGGATAAACAGTTGTAAAACATTTCTTAACGTCTCCATAAGAAAATATAGACAATCTGGAATTTTGACCAACTATTATTAATTAATTAGTGATACATATCCATTTTTGTTTATTTATTAATCAGGATTTACAATACATCAGCTAACATCACACCTTCATATCGTTCAAACTGTCAGTATCAAAATTATGGTGTTTAGGATTAGAGTTTAGTTGAAGCACCCTGTTGAACTTATTGCTTTGTCTTCTTTCTGAAAATTGAGCTGATTTATTCGACCCACTGGAGTTGTCAGGTGACTTGACAGCTATGGATTTAGGATGTGCATTCTGTTGCAGACAACGGAGAGTGAAAACACGATGATTGCGCAAATTACATAGTTTCTTTGTTTATTTTGTGGTGAGAGTAGGCTGCTAGCCAAATTGGTTGATATTAAGTCAATGTTTATGTCCCAAATATTGGTAGTGAGAAAATATGAACAAAGACGGATTTGACAACCAACCACAGCATACTTTGCGTAGGCAGATACGGTTAACATATAGATGATCTGACATTCAAGAAACTGTCACAAAAGATGCAAGGTTAACTGTCTGTGAGAAACAACCAATCAGAAGACTTTGTTTCTTTGCTTGATTGAGCTATAAAAATGAACATGAAAATCTATAAATACGCGTTGATTTCCTTAATAAACGATCTGTTGCCTGACCCTTGTCTTCTGTTGTTAAAATTTAATTCGATTGCAAAATAATTCATATGAACTGTTGTCAAGATTTGACAGAATAGTTCTTCAATATTTAGGCGCAGAGTGAGAAGTTCGAGGTCAAATTCTGATCACAACTCATACAATTTTGTTTATTATACATGTTGATACCTGTTTCATGACTCATATGATTGAACAAAGTTTTAAAAACAAGTGATGTTCCTTTTATAAATATCAACCTCTGTTATGTTAATTTCTATGAATTTCCCTGAAGAAATTCGGATCAGATTGTCGAACGAAGCGTTGGAAGTAATCATTTCAATCTCGCTGAGATTTTACAAATATAATTTTGTACTGAATGTACATTTCTCACTCGGCGCCCAAATATTTTAGAACTATTTTGCCAATCTTGACGACCGTTCATATGAATTCATAGATCATATTTAAGTGAATGTCTAACGAATAACTATCTAGTTTATTAACGTCCACCATACTTTGACACTGTATTGTAAAAATATATGATAACTGAAAAAGCTCAGTCATTATTATGCTGAATCGACCGACAGTACAAGACTGTACTACATCCATGTATATCGTTCAAAATGAAGGTCAATATGAAGTCGCTATAAACAACAACAACGTATTATACTAAAGTGTCGGCGTCTCTATGTTGTTTGTTAGATTACAGAATTCAGACGTGTTAGTTCAAGTTAAACCACAAAAAGAAAAAAAAATTATTGGCCAGGACATGTTCTAGAGGTGAAGCCATTGCACCACAATCAATTTGTCAATGAATTTGGTCATTAGATTGAAACTGCTTATCTTCTGTGCAATGTAGAGTAAAAGTCGTTTCATCTGTCTGACTGACACACATGCTGTCAGTCTTGTCAATTCCTGGATAACTTGTGTATTGTATGACAGCATAAGTTTGTTAATAGTGCCGAAATTGTCTACATTTTAGGAAAATTGTATGCACTGCTGGAAAATATCTCAGAGTAGTTGACTGTAGTAATAGATCCACCTTCAGGTATGGAAAGCAGCAAGTAGAAAAGAGTTAACCAACTGTTTAACAGAAAGTCTATATTTCTATCTTATACAATACAGAAGTCGATGACACAGTGGTTCGGACACTTCCGACCATACACATGATCCGGAGTTCGACCTCCTGCCGACGCACACCTGATATCTATGGTCAGCCTGCAATATTTGAGCTACCGATATTACATGCTGAAAATTCCATACTTGTACCAAAAATACGGTGTGGAGTCAAGCTATAATCAAAATAAATAAAAAAATGAAATAAATTAGAATGAAATACTCAATAAAAATGTGTGAATACCATGACACTTGTGTCAGAAGTTCATTTAGCTAATCAAAACTTGATAAGTACCCTGTTAATTTCTCCTTCAGTTGCATTCATGAGTTCATATTCACTTGTGATACTGACTCTAACTCATTGAGTTGATTTAAACTTTACTAATAATTAATTCTCAGGTTGTTATATATAACCTCACAGGCTAACAATAATCGTTTTATTTTGCCTACTCTTGTCGTTTGTTCTACATCTATTGAACCTTTCTTTTGTTATTGTAATTAATGTGGATGACTAATGAATTAGTCTGGAAGTTGTGATATTTACACTTTCAATAATTCCAATTTGAGATCTCCTAATTTACTGCATTTTCTGTACTACTGTTTCAACATTAAAATAATTCTTTAACTTCTTTCTATCTAAAACTATTGTAATGCAAGACAATCTGAGGAAGATTGTTTTGATGACGAATATTTAAACAACATTAAACAGCATACTGTGTCGGGGGTACAGCTGTAAAATGCTCACCAACCGCAAAAGTGGTTCGGGATTCAATCCTCGGTCGACGAACTCCTTTACCTCACTAGCCAAGCCGGTAATACGACCAGTGAGGCTAGCGACACTATCCCGTAAAAATAAATATCATTGCTACCGAAACTTCCTAGCTCCAGCTTGAAGTCCTATGCTCCACTGGGAACGTAAATGAATAAAATAATAATATCATCATCGAAGAAGAAAACCGTCTTTAAAGCTCTCAACACTCCACGACAATATAATTGACTGACATTCAATGAAGATATCTAGGAATCCTGTTGTGAACAGGGAGAATATGGTGACATTGGATGGACCTCCAAGAAGGTGACAAGTCCATTTTATAGATTATCATATTCGGCCTCTTATTCGAGTTTAGTGAATGATGATGTTACGTAGGTAGTCATAATCACTCCAACCGAAACTTCATGGCTCTAGCTTAAAGTCCTATATTCCACTAGGAACATAAGGACTATTGAACCATTCGGACTCTTTATTGGCTGAACATGCCCTAGCACATGACCTAAGAATCCAGCAAATGATAAAGTGAAATATCAGCTACGCTCTTTCATCATCATCACCCATAAATCTTTTAAAATAAACACATTAGTGACTTCCCTAGCCATCTATCTGATCTATTCACCTTCGTATTTAGGCAATAATATTTACCAAAAGTTGATTGTCTGATAGCGTTATACAAATAGGTTGTACTACCTTATGACTGAAATACAAGTATTAGTAGGAGTATGGCTAAAATCTACATCTACTACATCAACATATCAGATTACAGAGTTATTTAATAAGGCCAATTAGATAGGAATTTAAATTCCTTACTGTCCATCATTTGAGATGTACTTGAAGAGAAAAACTACACTATTAAATTATCATCAGCGTAACATATTTCCCTCAGACAATATATTCAATGTGCGGAAATTGCTTTAAGAACCCACTCCTATAAGTCCACACTTATAATGTCCTTTGGTTGTGAAAGTGTTTCTATTAAAAGTTTCTATCGATTCTGTTTTGTTGGTTTTAACTAATGAGACCGAAATAGATTCGTTATGGTTTGAACACAGAAAAAGGATCTTGACTTTCTTCTATATAGCTAGCAAAACTTCCTTGAGACATGCTCAGTCACGGAATGTTCGAAAGACAGAAGAAAGATGATTATTATGGAATAATTATGCGCAAACTATCAAGATTACCCTTGAAGTTTGAAGTCATTATCTTTAGGCCAACTAGCATATTTTGAAGTTCAGGTTTCTGCATTACTTTAGTCTGCATAGCAGAATTATTTACCCCGGAGATTTGGGCTACACCAGTACTCTAGCTGTCCCTCAGAGTTTCTCTCACACTACTGATTAATGAAGATGTGACGGCTTTTTTCAACTGTGGAGGCTGTTGTTGTTCCAAAATCTCCAAGTGTGAATAACAAAACTGTTATTAATATTGAGCTGTTTCATAGTGCCTTCATTCTTTAGAATCATTCTTCCAAAAATAAGGGTTAACCTTTCCGATGCCATTTTAAACGTAGTCCTTCAGTTGAATACGAACGGGATACGGAATCGGTTTTCATTTCCTCAGAGGCTTTCATTTGTAAATTGGAAGTAGACATTCAAGATGGCACTGTCTGACTTACAGGGTCATAAAATCATCCATCACTGTCGAGCAGGTTTGATAGGCTCAGCTCTCTAAGTGAGAATTTCATTTCAGCTTCAGCCTGACAATCACGAAATTCCTTTTTCGCTTTTTGTCTAATCACATTTATGACTACCCACCTAATATCATAATTCACTAAACTCGAATAAGAGGCCGAATATGATAATCTATAAAATGGACTTGTCACCTTCTTGGAGGTCCATCCAATGTCACCATATTCTCCCTGTTCACAACAGGATTCCTAGATATCTTCATTGAATGTCAGTCAATTATATTGTCGTGGAGTGTTGAGAGCTTTAAAGACGGTTTTCTTCTCCGATGATGATATTATTATTTTATTCATTTACGTTCCCAGTGGAGCATAGGACTTCAAGCTGGAGCTAGGAAGTTTCGGTAGCAATGATATTTATTTTTACGGGATAGTGTTCATAGCCTCATACCCAACCTTCCCTCTTTACCAGTCTTATTATCGTCCTGGCGAACGAGGTAAAAGAGTGCGTTGACCGGCGACTAAACCCCGAACCGCCTGCATGGTTAGCGAGCATTCTACCGCTGTGCCACTATGCACACTAGTCGGCACACACCAGTCAGCAAACCGTATCTGCAACCTTGAAGGAACTCATATCCTTCTGGAATTCGAACTCCCGTCTCCCA